ATATATATCTTAAGTGTATTAATATGTTTGTGAACAAAAACGAACATACTAATTGCGGCGAAATTGTGAGAAATTGACAAATTCAAATTGAGGTTTTCAGAAGCTACGTGCTTTTATTTTGAAGTGCAGATCAGCGTGCTTCTAATTTCCGCCTTGCCGCTACTTGACACATACGGATAAAGAAGTATCGGGTCACGTGACTGCCCGGAGCGTCATGAAGAGAAGAAGGAGAGCGGCGCCCTCTTTCAAGCAAAATGATTAACAACTTTAAAGACTCCTAATCAATGATTTTTTAAAAAACTTATTGATGAGATGATCAGGAAGTATCCACACAGAGAGGGAAAATACCATCAAATATAATTTATAACAGAAACGCAAACAGTAAAATGCCTAAATATTAGTACAACTATAGTGGGTAAAAGTAAAATATTTTATGCTTCACAAATATTGTTAAACATTATTTAGTAGAGATAAATTATATACATAATTAATTAAAAAAGTATTTTCTGTTCAGTGTTGGCTAATCTGAGTTAGACTTTAAATCATGACAATATTGTTTTACAAAAATCTTAATGGACGCTAAAGGAAAACCGTCATCTCTTGCTTCTCCATCCTTTTTGTCTTGAGTCAAAAAAGGGCCCTAATTATAGGATCATGGGCCTATATGAACCTAAATCACTTTAAACATCACAATGATCCAAACAGCTCACGTCTCACACAAATCTGACCTAATTTCACAGGATTTTTTAAGACATTTCAGATTTTAAAGATGACCCCGATCGATTATATGGAGGACCGAAACTGACATAAAAAAAAAATACCAGGATTTTTGACCAATGACTTTATTCCTACCGCAGCTGCATTTATCCTCTAGGTGGCAGCATCCCATAAAATCTGATCATCTTTACACTTTGGATGCAACTTAAACTTTAGTTGGAGAAATAGAAAATTTGATTTTTCTGACCTTTCTGTGGATTTCAGTGTTTTTTTAATGTATTAGGATTTTTTGATTCAGAGGCTCATCTTTATGGAGGACCAAAATTGACACAATTAAAATTAAAAGCACTTAAAATGCACCAAAGCAGGATCCGTGTGCAGGATGATTGTGCATCCTGCACATGGATCCTTCATAGATGCCTGTTGCATCATTTCCATGTTCTTCACTTATTACTTCCCAAAACTAAAGAAAAAAAATCATCGCTGCCTCAGTTTAGTGATGGGAACTGAGCAGTTCAGTTCAGTGCACTATGTCACATCAGTTAATTCAAAAGATTTGTGTCTTTTTATGTACATGGTTTTTTTTTAATTTATTTATTTTTTTTACATTTTTCTGTTCTGCATGTACAATCGATCTGTACATGGATGGACGCTGCTCCTTCCTGTCTTTTGAGCAATAGTAGAGGAGCTGACCGAAGAAGAGCAGCCCACCCACCTTATTTGAATAATGATGCAGACATGCATTATGTAAACTAAAAACAGGAGACAAAATGTAAAAACAACACATGGAAACATAAAAACTTGTGGGTGGAAAAAATAAAAAGAAAAAGAAATGAAGAGGAAAAAAATTAGACTGGACGATGAATCTGCACAAGCTCAGAATTATAGGTTGTTTGCATGTTTTAAAATGGGGTGTCTCCCTTACCTCAATGATGACATCATTACCGGCCCCATATATAAGACTGGTGAGAGCCCGGAGGACTATCTCAGACCCTCAGCTGTTCTCTGGACTGCAGCCTGATCATCATGCGTGAAATTGTTCACCTGCAAATTGGACAATGTGGCAACCAGATTGGCTCAAAGGTAATAAAACCGATTCATTCTAAATAATAAAACTTCTTAAATCATTAAGCTTCATTAAAAATTTTATTTTGGAAAATAAAATGTTAATTGACACATCTATTAGAATAAAAACTATTGTCAAAATCTATTTTAAGACACTTTAGCCTCACAAATAAACTGCTTATGTTTTTTTTTATTATTGAGATGCAGAAATGTTTTTGTTTTCTTTGTCGTTCATTTTGAGTGACACGGGGTGTTTGCTGTCATGCATTCAGGAAAAAGATAAGAACCGAAGCAAGACTGGCATGGGTGGGACATTTGTTATCGTTGCTAACACAAAAACAAGAAAAAGGAACACGCAAGATGATAAAGCTTAGCCGGACTTATAACCAGTTAGATTTTATGTGCAACTTTTACTTCAGCTGTAATTTCTAGTCAATACAGGATCACGAAATTCAAACTGTGACTAAATAATTTGTGTTGATTTTGCACTGGTGATGTTTTTCTCTTTAGTTTTGGGAAGTAATAAGTGAAGAACATGGAATTGATGCAACAGGCATCTATGAAGGAGACAGCAACCTTCAACTGGAGAGGATCAACGTCTACTTCAGAGAGGCGCATGGTAACAGATGAGTTTTATTTGCAAGTTCATCATTTCTAACTGTGAGATACAGATGTGCTGTTTGCCTTTCTTCTTTTTTTACTCAAAGTAAAGATGGGTTTGATTTTGAACTTGTTTGTAGGTGGTAAATATGTCCCCAGGGCCCTGCTGGTGGACCTGGAGCCAGGCACTATGGACAGTGTTAGAGGAAGCCGCATCGGTGCCCTTTTCAGACCAGACAATTTCATCCACGGTATGATCAATAAGTAGGGGTGTAAGAAAATATCGATACACTGAAATATCGCGATATTTCATTTCCCGATACTGTATCGATATTCTAAAGCCCTGTATCGATTTTTTTATTAAGGTTTAAAATGTCAACTTTCCTGCCAGCCGTTCATTTTTATGTTGTAGTTCAGCCTCTGACCACTAGTTGGCAGCAGTGAGCCAGCCATTTGGCAAGAGGTAGAGGCTGTTGTTAAGTGTTGGGTGACCATATTGTAAATTAATATTAAAAACTAAAAGCTGCAAAAAATATATTTTCAAACTATTTATTGTCAAATTTAGTCTAATAATTGAAAACATGGATGAAATAAGAAATATGAAACAAATAAAATAAAATACATACAAAGCAGAACACAGCTAAATGTATCAAAAGTATGTCTATGTAATATTAGAATTTTCTGAGACAATGAATTTTGGTTTTTCCTTTTTTTTTCCCCTGTAAGAGGTTTTTATTTAATAGAATTTTTGGACAAAAAATCGCAATATATCGCGATATATCGCCTTGCTTATAGTATCGCAATATATCGGGATATATCGTATTGTGACACCTCTGTCATGATATGTATCGTATCGCCAAATTCTTGCCAATACACAGCCCTATCAATAAGTTTAAAAAAAAGAAACAGTACATTCATGTGTTGGTTAACCTTAACGAGTCCCAGTCTTTTCATTTGTGACAAATGTTAAAAATGTAAAGATTTTATCAAGAATCGGTGTAATGTGGTTAAATAATGTAACTTTTGGTGTCACAGGAAACTCCGGAGCTGGAAACAACTGGGCAAAGGGACACTACACAGAAGGAGCTGAGCTGGTTGAACAGGTTATTGACAGGGTGAGAAATGAGAGCGAAAGCTGCGATTGCCTCCAAGGCTTCCAGATGGTTCACTCGCTGGGGGGCGGCACAGGCTCCGGCATGGGCACCCTCATCATCAATAAGATCCGGGAGGAGTACCCCGATCGGATCATGAACACCTTCAGCATTATGCCATCCCCGAAAGTCTCTGACACGGTGGTGGAGCCCTACAACGCCACGCTGTCGGTCCACCAGCTCCTGGAGAACACAGACGAGACCTTCTGCATTGACAACGAGGCCCTGTACGACATCTGTTTCCGCACATTGAAGCTGACCACACCCACTTACAGGGATCTCAACCACTTGGTCTCCCTGACAATGAGCGGGGTCACGACCTCTCTGAGATTCCCGGGACAGCTCAACGCCGACTTGAGGAAGCTGGCTGTTAACATGGTGCCCTTTCCTCGTCTCCACTTCTTCATGCCGGGCTTCGCCCCGCTGACAGCGCGGGGCAGCCAACAGTACAGAGCTCTGACCGTGCCTGAACTCACCCAGCAGATGTTTGATGCCCGCAACATGATGACGGCATGCGACCCACGGCGAGGTCGATACCTCACTGTTGCTGGGATCTTTCGCGGGAAGATGTCCACTAAAGAGGTAGATGAGCAGATGCTTGCAATCCAGCTGAAAAACAGCAACTACTTTGTCGACTGGATCCCCCATAACGTCAAAGTCGCAGTTTGTGACATCCCCCCAAGAGGCCTGAGGATGGCTTCCACATTTATCGGCAACAACACGGCCATTCAGGAGATATTCCGTCGAGTGGGTGAGCAGTTCTCTGTGATGTTCAGACGGAAGGCCTTCCTCCACTGGTATACAGGGGAAGGGATGGATGAAATGGAGTTCACCGAGGCAGAGCATAACCTCAACGACCTGGTGTCAGAGTACCAACAGTACCAAGACGCCACCGCCGACCTCGATTGGGAGATAGAAGAGGAAGAAGAGGAAGGACCCTCACCCTCAACAAGAAAAGTTGAAACTCGGACGGAAGTCAATTTGGAAACTGTGGTAGAAACAAGCAAAGAAACTGTAGAGGATAAATGAACACCGAGTAAAGCTTGGCACAGACACTTTGGGTCAAGAATTCAGACAAACTACTGTATTTATTTATGTATAATAGTAGAAATTTAACCCTAAAAAAATCAACCATAAAGTAGTATTATACACGGGTTATTGATAATTAGATTTTTTATGCCTTTTAAGCTCAAAAAATGATGCTTGTACTCGTGATATTATACATGAATAAATACGGTAAGTCTGTTTATAATTTTACTTGTTTAACTTGTACTTTATGCTTAGTGCTTTTAATTGGATATAACATCATCCTGAACTGCATTTTTGGGGGCTTTAAATGTTTAGGCAAATGTTTTAATGAGTATTTAAAGTTTGAGTCAATAGTTGACCAAAAGTGTTTACTGGAACAATGTGGCCTGTCCCATCCTAGTCAGGGATAAATCTCTGCCTCAAGTGGAAGAGTTCCAGTACCTGGGGTCTTGTTCAAGAGTGATGGGTAGTATAAATGTTCAAAAAATGGAAATGTGACAACCAGGAGGGTGTGGGTATGACTGTTTGGGTAGAAATGTGTACAAATCACTTTGGTTTGACTGTGCAGACTCTTCCACAGTCTTGAGTCATTGTGCAGCACACCTCTTTTGCAGTTGTTGCTTTATCCACCTTTACCACGGGGAGGCTCAGACTGTCTGGGTCTAAAGATGAGTCTTGTATAACTGGTCTTTAAAAGTTTCAATATGTAACACCAGTTTTGTGAATATGTGCAAAGCTGAAAATGCACCCATTACATATTGAACAGTAATCACTTTTACTGAAAATGCCACAGCAAACAAAGTGCAGAAGATCTTGGAGTGTCCAAATGTTAATAAAGAAAGGAAAACCCCAAACATTATTGATAAGGCTGACACAACAAACCAAGATATTTACAATAGCCCGTAATAGTTATAATTTTGTTTCAGTGGTACTACAAGTCGCTCACTCACCGGTTTTGGGGTTTGAGTCAAATGAATTGTACATTTTATTAGAGGTGCCTATCAAACTATTTTACAGTAAACAACATAATGGGCACATTCGATCCAGAATCATAAATATAAATTTATATATGGTCGTACATGACTACTTTTTATTGTGCTAAATTTGTTCAGATACAAGCTGTAGCTTCCTTATAATACTTATACCTATAAAACTATTAATAAACGTTTGTCAGTGAATGCATTTTTTAATTTCATTAACTGTTTTATATTATTGTGTTTAGAGATATTGGAGATATTCAAACAAAAATTTGGACTTTATCACAACACTTTATACATTATATGATTTACATCTGCAATAATGCTTTATTTTATTCTTATGTTTTATTTGCTTAAATATTATTTTTGTATTGGAGATTTGATGAATATGTTTTAATGTTTATATTTACTTTTTAGCTGTTCTATATAGTTCACTGCTTTTAAAAAAACAATGTTTCCTTTTTTGTGTGACAGTGGCTAAAATATAAAATATGCTACAAATAAAACAATATTCATTAAACCCTTAAAGAGAATTGTTTCCCTTACATCCAGTATCATTAGTTCAAATGAAGCAAACTGCTGTGTTGGAAGTCCTCTGATAGCACTTTAATGCTGATACTGTTCAAGGCTGTCACACAGTTTCCTCCCACTTGCACAAGTCTGCAGCACTAAGATTACACAGAGTTTGGACAGAACTCGTCTTAGATAAGAGCACATGACATAAAAATGCCCCAAGTGCACTGGACCCATTCACTGGAAATGTAGGTAATGGTGACAACAGGCACATTGCTTCATCAAAGGCCATTTCAGGTTCAGGTTGCAAAATTAAAATGACGCAATAATAGAATACACTCTTTGTCCTGTGTTCCCTTTTAGTGGTAATTAACAATTTCATAATATTAATAAACTATTTAAAATGAACCATTATGCTAACTAACAACTGAAATGATTACATTATTCTTCTGACACTATTAATCCTTATAGGCTCAACATTAGTAAAAATATCAGATTTAGAGCTATTATTATGTTGGCTAATGTCAATCAGTAAGGGGCCATTTTAAATCGGATTTTCTGGAAATAATAATGAGCTTTAAATAGGAATCCAGTGATCACATTTTGAAATTTTTATTTAAATCTTCCCAGTGATTCAGGAGGTACTGTGCTAACAAATAGACAAAGTTGACACCAACAGGTAATGCCAAAAAATTGGAGCAAAAACATTGAAAAATGTGTGGTATCAGCGAATGCGCTGGGAATGACTCTCAGCTACTAACACAGCAAATCTTAGGTGTAAAACTGGCTGAGCTATAGGCATTTTTGTGTCCGCTATTGTAGCTTAGCTGTGGTAGCCATCTTGAACGATGTTGACTCCAAAAGTCAATCAGTTGTAGTACATCCAATGATTACTTTCTGAAAGATTCATTAAAATCTGTCCAACGGTTCATGAGATACTCTGCTAATTCTACCGAAAAATGAACACGCACTTGCATATGACATGATCACCTCTTGGCTTCAGAGGTGAGCAATAAAAGGAGGGCTTGATACTTTCTGGCCTTTGCTGTTTGGCAGTCATTAAAATGTGGTAATGAATAATTCTTGACTGAAGATTGCATTATGCCTGGTGATTTATTTAAGCTTAGCCAATTAAATTAACAAAAAGTATATGTAATGAATTCTTATTATTATTATTATTATTATTATTATTATTATTATTATTATTATTATTATTATTATTATTATTATTATTATTATTATTTACTTTTCTGTCGTGTCAATTAGAAATTCATATAGGATTTAGAAATGTTTTTAAAAACCATCAGGACAATTTCTTAGCTTCATTTAAAAAAGTCTTGAATAAGTGACTTGATCCTGTTTCATCAGCTGACAATATTCTGTAACTGAGCTGTCATTGACCTGATTTGTGTAACTTCCAAAGTTAAATGCACATGAAACTGAAAATAAAATCTGTATCACAAAGTGACACACACTACCTGTAGTTACAAAATAATGGTGGTGATTTTTTTAAATGTTTATATGTAAAATATTACAGATTTAGCCTTTTTTTTATGGCCTCTGTGGATTCACGTGACGTCGTCAGCGGAAGTGCATCACTCACTCACGTGACTGTCGGAATGAGGGGGAGGAGATTGAATGGGATCTAGTAATATCTGTCAGAGAGAGTCACTTCTTTTCTTCTTACCGGCCGGCTTCCCCACGTCTCATCTGTCTCCCACATTTAATCATGAAGATCTGGACCTCAGAATACATATTTAAGTAAGTAAACCGCTTATTCCTCTCATCGGTGTCTTTTTATTCTGGTTGCGTGTTTAGCCCTGCTTTAAGTCGTTATGTAAGGCTGCACATGGCGTTTCACTGTAGCAGGATTTCACTACTAGCTGTATGCTAGTAGCAGTCGGAGCTAGAGACGAATGGTTGCCTTTTATTTATAACTTCACACGTAGACGCTTTGAATTATCCTAAAAAAGACAAAAATACAGAATAAAAAAAACCCCACTGACCGAGTGCCGAGTTCTCTTTAAATTGCGTAACCGACTGGTCTCGGACAGCCCTTGGCTCTCACCTTTACCCTACATTCCGTAAAAACTGTGACGTCATTAAACCGCGACGGTGACGCTTTCACTCGTGGTAACCTTTCAACACAGCCGCAAAGAAAACACTGAAAACACCGGGAGACGGAGTTGTTTTACTTGTTAAAAAAAGTGAAACGGTTTCCACGCATTAGTTAAAACCTTTTTTTTGTTACTGGATAATTTGGTAAAGCTATAAGCACTAGTAAATTGATTAGTTTACGTGTTGAATAGCATAAACAAAACGTTTTTTTTTTAACTAATAAACTATAAATTGCAGTGGGTGAGTAAAAGAAGAAAAAAAAAGAACAGTTTCAACTAACATGTAGGACGTGATTTGTTAGATCTAATTTGGGTTATTTTTGTGGCCTTGTTTTTACAGCCATCCTTGGGAAATGGTAACTAAGGCTGCTATGCAGAAGTATCCCAATCCAATGAACCCCAGCGTGGTCGGAGTGGATGTCCTGGACAGAAACATCGACCAACAGGGACGCCTCCACAGTAAAAGACTGCTCAGCACAGAGTGGGGTCTGCCATCCATAGTGAAATCTGTAAGTGTTCAAATGAATTCAAACGTAGACTCTTTTCACTCTTGTGGTTTGAAAACGTTGCTTTAAAAGCCGGACAATCAAACGCACCACGAGAACCCAGAAATAGCCGTTGTGAGGTTCAGGTTTTTCTGTCCTTCACGTGAAGGATATTTCTGTCCCATTAGAGTAGCCGAGCCGTTTGCTGACTGGAGCTCAGCTGAGTTCATGGCTGTGTGCCACGGCTCATGCTGTACAGGACATGGTGGTCCCATATCTGTCACTGCTCAGATGTCATCCGTGACACCGTGTGATGCAACGCTCCGCCTGTGCGTGTCCGCTCGGTCAGCAGAGCAATGTCAAAGACCTTTGGACTTGTGAACTCGTCTGTTACTGACTTTTTGTCCCCTTTAACGTGTTGTGGGGGACAACACGTTGCCTTTTGTCTTACCTCAGCATTTACCAATCATTTGTTTAAAGTCTTGCTTAGAAATGGGATGAGTTGTTAACACTCACCTGAAGACTTTGTGACTTTCGTTAAAATTCAAGGACAGTCGGTGACAAACTGTTCCGGTGATTTCGGTCACCTCAGAGGAAATTACTTCGGAAAGTCAGTGTTTATGTATAAACTAGAGTTTTCCTGTTTAGTAAGTCCATCTCTCACACGCAGATCTGAAGTGTGCTTGAAAAGAAAAGCCTCATTGAAACTTTGAGTTGACAAACCCAGGTATCATTTTACTGGTAGAGCTACATTTTTTTCCCCACGCAAGGTCTGTGCTAGTGCTTTTTGTGTGTGTGTTTTGTTTTTTTCTATACCTAAGCAGGCGTTTAGAAAAATACAGCTCAAATACCATCTTTTTGTGGAAATGTATTTAAAGGGGACATCCCTTTAATTTTATTTCCACAAAAAGATGGTTGAGTGTAAGACTATAGGCATTTCTCAATGTTTAATTTGTATTTCTTTTTTATTAACAATGACTGTTAAGTATGTACTTTTTCAAGGGGACATATCATGCAAAATCCACCTTTTAGCCATTAAATACGTTTTGTTGTGGGTCTCTAGGAGTGCAGAAAAGTTGAATTTATTCTCCTCCAGTGCCGCAAATATATCTTTATATTCTTTTTAGTCATTTTTTATTGCATTATCTGAACCATTGCTATTAGGATTTAAAAGGATTATGTCTCCTTTTTAACTGAGTAGCAATTAATTGAAATCACAGCACTTTTTATTTTTTAATAATAAGTTCTCCCTTTTTTATGTTTGTTAAAATCAGTACGTGCTTTTAAAACGTGTATTCTGTATTCTGAATGAGTTTAATTCTTTGTTAAGTTAAATTTTAAAAAAACTTTATTGATTCCAGAGGGAAATTAGTTCATCAAATCATATCTGTTAGTAAAAGCATACGTAGACTGTTGGTAAAGAGTCTCTTTTTCTTTCTTCAGCTCATTGGAAACACACGAACACACACGTATATTCAAGAGCACTCAGTTGTGGATCCCAAGGAGAAAACCTTTGAGCTAAAATCTACAAATGTGAGTACAATATAGTTTAAAAGTCTCTAAATGCTGATGGGGGGGGGTAGGGGGGAATCACTTTGTGGATTTATATAAACAGAAGACAGCTAAGTAAAAAATATCACAATTCTGTTTGATGTGCTGCTAAAACACAGATGTACATTATTTACAAGCAGAGCTAAAGTTTCTGTGAACTGCTGCTTTCTTTTTTTTAAAACCTAATTGTTTTTATGAACCTTATTCAAAAGTAGGTTTTGTTTTGAATGTGCCAAACCTTAAATGGTCACACCCAGTTCAGCTACAACTGGTTTTCTGTGACTTCCATCTGACTGCACTATGAGCTCAGGTTGTGTAAAAAAAAAAAAAGCACGTTGCGCTCAGAATGAAATCCTGCTTGTTGCACAGGTGAAGTAAAGTCTCAAGAATGCTTGTTCACCTGTTCTGCTGTTAGACTCGTCTGACTGCAATGACTTGGCATTTGGATTCAACCTAACCTCTAACCAGTAATAATTAAAATAATTGTTTTTCATTTCATTCATTCTACAGATCACTTTCACAAACATGGTGTCCGTGGATGAGAAGTTAACATACAAACCTCACCCTGAGCATCCAGAGAAGTATGTTCCTGCCTCATGTGACTCTCACAAATCTTGTTTTTTAAAGCTCAAGGTTTTTACTTTTATTCAAATCATCGTCTCTTCTAGGACAATACTGACTCAAGAAGCCATCATCTATGTGAAAGGCGTCAGTCTCAGCAGTTACCTGGAAGGTGTTATGGCCAACACCATCTCCACTAATGCTGGAAAGGTAAAACATTACCTTTACATTACAACACAGTAAAGACATTTTTTTATTTACAGGTAATTTACTTTTCAGCAAGAAAAACACATAATTGTTTACAGTTGTTTAAAATGGGTGGGGGTCCTGCTGTTACAGAAAGGAGAAAATAAGGGATATTTATGCCAAATTGAAGCTTGTTTCCAACACACAGGATGCATTTTTACAGCATTTAGAGACAACATAATGATGAACTTCCTGTCAAAACTTTCCTCACATTTCGAGTGATGTCATAATTAAATCCTAATGCTTAACTCTGGGACCAAACTACTTGTTTGTGTCAAAGAAACACAAAGAAACAAACAAAAAAAAAAAATCCTGGATTAGTTTCCCTAAATTTGTTCTGTGTAAATGTGAAGACTATAAATAGGTTAACCCTAAATTAAAACACTAAATAAAGGTTAAGTTTAAGTTCTTTGATTAAATTTTAACTAAATAAATAAAATTTTAAGTGCTGCTCTTTGTTCAGTTATAAAATGGGATGTTTTTCTCCGGCTAGAAGAAGTGTTAAACTTCCCTCTGTGCCCAAATATGGCATTTCTCTTAGTTTTAATTCAAGGTTCATGTTTTTGGTTTTATGGTTTTGTTTTATTTGCATTTGGGGTTTGTGAAGTTGACCTTCAAGTGCAAGTTTTCTGAATGTGTATCACAAAACTGGCACAGTTTTTGACTCAAATAGACCCTTTTGTCATTGTCGTCTTGTTTGCCTTTTTTATGCAATCTGTTTGCTTGAATAACATTTGGTTTTGCTCTCGAACAGGGCAGAGAAGCCATGGAGTGGGTAATCAGACGGCTGAATACAGAAATTGAGGAGCTGGCAGCCACAGCACGCGGGACCATGTGCACTCCGATCGCTGCGGCAGCCACTGAGAAATGACACCTACCTCTTTTTGTCAACAGACTCTTAGATGTACTCATCGGTGCAAGCAGCCTCCCTTTATGGTGCTGCTGAGGTGCTCTAGTTGTCCTATATTATTTAAGGGTGCGGATGTGTGCGTTACTGTCTACATTAGATGGACTGCAGCATAAAGGAGTTCTGATGAATGCTTTCAGGCCAGCACTACGAGGATGAGAGACTCGGGCTAAAGACTGGGCAGCACCCTCAGAGACAAGTTTAAACACCACCTACCACTCGTGTCTTTGGAATGAAAGGAGTACAACGAGGGCACTGGTTGAACCAGAAACAAGAACAAGTGCCAAAGCAGATACAGTTTTTTGCACACACCTTTGCCAGATGGGCTTTTTTCTTTTTCTTCAAAATCTTGCTATAGACTCCAGAATGTCAGCGAGTTTCCGTCTGGTGAACGGGAGTGTAAAGAGCTAGGATGTTAGAAATCGGCTCGTCAAGATGAGGTTCAAATGCAAATCACATCAAACCTAAATATAAGACGTTTGGATTAAATTCCTACAATATCTTCATGAACATGAGAATTAAAAAAAATACAAAGTTTCACAGTTATCTCTATTTGCTTTTAAGAGAACCAGCTCAGTTATTTCTTGTGGGACCGAATAAAAACTAAATGTTCAGCAGGTGACAAATGAAAACCTGACTCTGAAATGTATTCTTGTGTTTTTGTTAAGGTATTGTTGTCGATGAAGGGATCAATTTTTCTTTGCCTTATTTATATTTAATGGGAAGACTTTCTCAAATGCTTTTAGTTGCATGTTGAACAAGAGCAGTTTTTCCATCTAGACAGTTTATTTTGAGGATTAACACATGTTGCAGAAGCTGTACTCCATATAAATGGTGGAATGGTTATATTGTTCACTTGATAATGTCTTCTACCATAAAGTAGCTGTACAACTTTTTTAAATGTATGGTTTTTTTAAACTGTAATATAAGTATTTATTTAGGAAAACAGTTTAAAAAGTGTTTTTTGTCAGATTCTATCTATAAAAAAAAGGTTGTAATCCATGTAGGTTTGATTGAGCGCATGTGGAAAAAGCCTCCCCGAGTGAATGCATAATGTTGCAATGCAATAAAACTGAAATATTGATAAATCTACATGAAAACTTGATATCCTGTGATTTTTGTCGAAGCAGTACTCCGATCGGATTTTTAAGGGTTATAGTTATGAGTGTTCAGATCAAATTTTACAAAATGTAAAAGAACTATTAAAATACTAACCCCAAAATAAAATCTAAATGAATAAAACATTTTCTGCACATTCAATAAAAGTAACATCTAATGCATGCAAATCATATTAATTTTAATAAAACAGCCCAAATATTGTATCATGTCCTTATGTACTGGATACCAACGTGTTATTGTTTTGCATGATTTGTTGGGAGCAAAGTATTTGTATTATTTAACTGTACTTTTATATTAGTAAACATTTTCCCCACCCTTTCTACATGGTAGCCTTAGTTTGCTTCAAAGATACATACAGATGACAATAGTTCCGGTGTAGTGCACTTTGTATTAATAATTAAAATGTAGTTATTACGATTTAAATGTGTATTTTCTGCGTAATAAAAACCTTTAGCCTTTTCTTGAGCTGTTACAAAAATATTTAAAGGCCTCTACTGCCCTCTAGCGAATAGGAGGGTTTCCCTGACGTCACCCTATTTCCGCTCTTCGTTTGTTGAATCAGCCAATAGAAAGCAAGTTAGCGCATCTCTTCAGCCAATCGGAACCCAGGATTTATTTAAAGGTTTTGAACAGAGGGTCATTTGAAATTAAACAGGCTGTAGAGTGTTGAAGGCAGTGTTATTCGGTCAGATTTATTGGCCAAACTAATCCGTATAATTTTTTTAAATTATTTTTTTTACAACTCGGACGATTTCCACAGCTTGGTTAGAAAACAACCCGTATGGTATTGTTCCTGTGTTGTTTTTGTAGCTTACTTCGAACATTAGCTTCTTCTTTTTTCAGCTAGTCGATGTAGCTGCTAACAAGCGCTCGGGTAGAAACTTACCTGCTGAAGTGGCGCTTTAGTTTTGAGCAGAGATCAACAGGCAGTGGTTGTTTCGGTCATCGTTCAAAACTACTTTTGGGTAAGTCTTTTTACCTTTTTAATTGCCAATTACCTGCTAGCATGAAATGTCGTTTTGCTGAGTTAGCTGCTAGGCTAACACAGCTCCTTGTCCGCAAACGTTAGCTGAACTCTTGTGGGTAAATGTTTAAGTGTAAACTTTTGCAAACATATAAACATGCAGTCAAAACTACAGCCTGTAATTGCTTTTGTGGATTATTTTCTTTTTTTAAATCATTAGCATTGGAGTTTTAATCCCTCTTCCTTTTTTTGCTCAGGCTATGGACTCCGCTTCCACGTTCAGGGTGGCAAAGATCACGAAACCTCAAAGGCCTGAAATGAAGGTAATGTTCCATATCTTATTAGGTTTTTTAAATTATATATGCCATTTAATTTTTGTACTTGTATTGAACACGTTAAACAGGTTTAACTTTAACAAATACAAACATTTCTTATCATTTGGACTTTCAAATAAGTTTAGGCACTTAAAATAAACATTCTACTTGTGAAGAAAAGATTTATTTAAACTGTAAAACTGATATTTTTGATTATTCAGATTGCATCTAAAGGCAAATTTGTTCCTCATAGTTAATAGCATTGTATTATTCTTTCTTAACTTTATGTAAAACTGCTTCAATTCAAAGATGTCTTAATATTTGTTCGTTTCTTTTAATTGCAGTCCAGCGATGATGGGCCAAAGCGTGTTCTTGTGTCGCAGCCAGTTCAGAAAGCTGGAGTCACACCGACTCAGCCCCAGCGGATCCTTGGTCTGTCAAATGGTCCGCAGCGTGTTCAGCGGCCTGTCAGCCACCAGAAACCATTATCTCACGTCTCTGCTGTTAAGTCAAAACACCCCGATGACCAGAATGTAAACCCGGCTTCTCTGAAAGCAAATCCTGCGCCTCGGCCAAAGCCTGTAACCCAGCAAAATCAGCCAAAGACACAAGTGCCCAGTGCCAACCCAGGAATAACCAAGCCACCGTCAGAATCTGCAAAGCTGGAAAAGCCACAGAGTACGTTTTTAAATTAACAACAAAGTAAGCATTGGTTTTTAGGTGCTGAACTAGTTCTCTGTTTTGTTTCTTAGATAATCCTGCCAAGAATGATCGGATCTCTTTATCAAAGTAAGTCAGCTGCACATTGTAAATTATACTTTATTATGATGTGACGGACTAGATTAAGGTTGTACCTGTACACCGCTGTGCTCACGCAGGAAGCCGTGGAGCCTGGAAGATTTTGACATCGGCCGTCCTTTGGGAAAGGGGAAGTTTGGCAACGTCTACTTGGCAAGAGAGCGCCAGACTAAATTCATCTTGGCCCTGAAGGTGCTCTTCAAGAACCAGCTGGAGAAGGCCGGGGTGGAGCACCAGCTGAGGAGAGAAGTGGAGATTCAGTCTCATCTCAGGTAGTTTGTGATCAGTTGATTCTTTCAAAGTGGCTTTCTCTTTGCCATAAAGCTTAGATTGGTAAAGAATTTGGTAGATTTATGCGACTGTGTTCTATCCATTTGTGACAATGGCTTTAACAGAACTGTTTTTATATTAGAAAGGCCATGGTTAATTTATGATGGCAATAATAGCATATAACATCCAATAGGGTGAATACATTTTATATGCACTGTACCTGCTTATTATAGAGTCTTCAAATGTTTGTTTTGATGCATATAAAGCACAAAACATATCTGTGACAGTCCAGGGTCTTTTTTGACTGGGATGTTTCAATATAGGTGGTTTTTTTTTTTCTATTAACCATCCAAGAAGGCTGATTTTTATATTAGACATGTCAGCATAATTTCTAAAGTGCATCTTCATTTGTTTCCTACAGGCATCCTAACATCCTGCGTCTGTATGGATACTTCCACGATACTTCTCGTGTGTATCTCATCCTTGAGTTTGCACCCAAAGGAGAGCTGTTCAGCGAGCTGCAGCGATGTGGAAGTTTCTCCGAAGACAGAAGTGCGACAGTGAGTGACGAGCGAGCCACTAGTTTAAAGGTTTCTCTACTTTACGTATGGTCAGAATTAATTTTTTGATCCTCTATTTGTCTCTATTAGTACATCATGGAGCTGGCAGATGCCCTTCACTATTGCCACACCAAGAATGTGATCCACAGAGACATCAAACCGGAGAACCTGCTTCTGGGAGCCAACGGGGAGCTGAAGATTGCAGATTTTGGTTGGTCTGTTCACACCCCTTCTTCCAGGTACACACCTCCCCTTTTTTGTTCATTTATTTTTGACTGCAGTACTGATGAGGTTGAAGAATGCTTTCATGTTTTATTTACAGCGTGCACACATTCCTTCCTGTTAAGACTCCTAACAAAGTCAAAAATAAAAAATAAGTAGGTCCTCTGGATGGTTTCTTCTTTAGTGAAACGTTTCATCTCTCGTCCAAGAGACTTCTTCAGTCTGAGGAGTTTCAGGTGAACTCAGCCTTATAAGCACTGCCTCCACATGGACAAACAGGTTAGTCACATGCAAAAGAGGGCCATCGCCTAACAATAGGCTTGATTAGCTCTATTTAGTCACATGCAAAAGAGGGCCATCGCCTAACAATATGCTTGATTCACGCTCTTGTTCATAGAGGGTCATGTGCCCCAGGGGCACATAACCCTCTAGGAACAATAGAGGTCATTCTTCATAGGTCTTATATGAACAATAGAGCTAATCAAGCCTATTGTTAGACGATGGCCCTCTTTTGCATGTGACTAACCTGTTTGTCCACCATGTGGAGGCAGTGCTTATAAGGCTGAGTTCACCTGAAACTCATCAGACTGAAGAAGTCTTTTGGAGGAGAGACGAAATGTTTCACCAAAGAAGAACCCATCCAGAGGACCTACTTATTTTTTCTTTTTGATCTTTTTTTCTACCTGGATTACTGAGATGCATCAGGACACTCCTAACAAAGTGCGGTATTTCTCGTGCAGGAGGTCCACTCTGTGCGGAACACTTGACTACTTGCCTCCAGAGATGATTGAGGGCAGGACTCATGATGAGAAGGTTGATCTGTGGAGTCTGGGGGTCCTCTGCTACGAGTTCCTGGTTGGAAAACCCCCGTTTGAAGCAAAGACTAACGATGAGACCTACCGTAGGATTTCAAAGGTATAAATTTCAGCTAGGATTGGAGAAGTCTGGGTGGATTCTGTCTTAGTTTAAATTGACAAACTTTTTTTTTTTCCCCTCCAGGTGGAGTACACATACCCTCCACAAACTAACATCAGTGCTGGAGCTAAAGACTTGGTAGCCAGGCTTCTGAAACACAATCCCATGCAGAGACTTCCCATCCAGGGAGTCCTGTCCCACCCCTGGGTGCTGGAGTATTCAAACAAGAAGCCTACAACACGGAGTAATCCGGACACAAATCAGTGATGGCTCTCCAAACACATTTCTGTACAGGCTGGAGTACTCCGACAAAACACCAACAGTTCAATGTTTTGAAGTCCAAACAGCACTTGTTTTGAAAACAGAATGACCCCCCCCCCCCCCTTCTAATTTTTAATATTTTTTTTATTGCAAAAACTTGAGTCACTTTGTCATCTTTATCAATGTTTCTTCTTATCCATGGCATGCTTTTGCCTGTAAATATTTCACTGTTTTTAGATAATTATGAACATTTATTGAGTTTTTGTGAAATGTTATTATTACTTGAAATGGGGAAATAATTCTTATTGAAAAATGTTGCGTTGGAAAGAACCACAAAGTGTTTCAGTGAGAAATGTATATTTTTTTTCTTCTTTGCATTTCGATCTTGTCTGAACCATTTGGTAAATTAGACTTTGCACTGAAGATACTGATTTTTATTATTTTGTTTTTGTGAAGTGCACAACAGAGGGCGCCATTAAACCACACAACTGGGAATTTGTTCAGTTTTTAATTGGCTATGTGACTTTTCTAATACAATAAAATGTTAGATTTGAAATATGTGGTGAGTATTTTGGTGGTGTAGAATCCTGTTATTTATTCTAGTTCTTTTGTAGTTTTTTTTAAATAATACATTATTATTACCTGTATATGGAAATTTATTTGATCCTGTTTTAAAGCCAATATTAGCTGACGTGCTGTCATCTAAATGTGTGGGCTCAACAAATTTTTTTATTCTTTTAACAGACTTAAGAAAAATACATACCATATTCTGAAGAGGTGATCCAAGTCTGCATAAAGCTACAATTTATTTTTGAATTGGAAAAATACATTTTAAAAAGCAAATTATGACCATCTATCACAGATTAAACTAATTTCTAACACATTTAACATATCCTGTGGACCAGAAAAGTCAAAGGGTTGCACAAAGACCAGTGAGTTCCTCTTGTCACCATGTTTCTCATAAAATAATGTTTATTTGTAGGTAATTCATTTCACAAGCTCTGTAATATTAGCTAATGTCGAGTGCATTTTCTGCAAATATAGGCATGTGACATTTTTGAGTTAGGTTTGTGTTGAGACTGAATAAAAGTGGACCCATTTTGGATCTGCTTTTCCTGCAGACATTTTTCCTCTTTATACTCCGTTTGCTCATAACATACTAAAATATTGCTACGATATGGACAGAAAACCACTTAAATAATCAACAAACTAACTCCTAAATTATAAGTTTGCCAACAATGACAATATAGTGAAATAAAGCTCGTCTCCGCTAAAATGTGTGTTGTCCTCTAGAGGGCGCTCAAGGATCATTTATCAGTGGACCGTCATGTTTTGCTGCCCTGCTGTGTTAGAGAATTATAAGAATTTCTATTTTTGAATGTTTTTATGACATAAATAGAAACAAAAGTCTTCTACGTGTTTGTGTTTTAACTATCAACCTTATACAGTTCGTTTTTCACCTGGTTGTTTGATTAAAAATGTACTTAATTTGATTTTATTTCATGTCTTTGACTAAAACCAGATCATTAAAGCGGTTTTTTTTCTTTGAGATTCCAGCTGCTTTTGCAACGTCATCATCTGAATCTGTTTTCCAGATGAAGAACATTACATTAAAAAAAATAAAACCATACATTTCTTTTTTTGTCTCCCTCACAAACACATTTATTCATTTAATAATTAACCTGATTCTGAGCTGTCTGAAACATTTGCTGTATTTTATTTAAATTTTTTTTACATGATCAGATGATGATGTCAGTTGGACATGGGCTAAATTGCTCGCACAGATGATGCCTTCACGGGCTGTAGGAAATCAGCAGTGTGGATGAACAGGCCGAGCAGGCCTGATGCCTGGAGCAGAAAATCTGTCCAAAAGCTTATTTTAAGGCAGCAAAAACTGAGCTGCTGGAAACACAGCTGCTCTGAATTTATCAACAGATGCTTTTGTTCTTGGATAAAAATAGATAAATAAAAATTTGCAACTGAATTCTAATAGAGAAACAATTCTATTTTTCTGGTTTATGTCACGAATTCGCTTGAATTGAGCTTAATTTCGTTTGAAAAAAACGTGACTGCAACTATCCCATATTTTTCTGTCATTTATTCAAGAGAAAAAAAATTCATCTTCCCCCAATTTTTTTGTTCATTCACATAAAACCACACACACTTTTTTACAATATAATTTCACTTGTTTCTTTATTCGTCAATATTTATTTCACAATATATGATCACCACTTTGAGATATACATTCCATCTTTTTGAAACCACAACAACACACTACACATACGGTTTTATAACATTTCCACAGGACCCATTGGATTGCACAGAATGAAAAATGTCTGTATGCGCATTTTCCTCTTTGATAATCTCACTTTTTTATTTTCAGACATCGGATTTTGCAAGACAGGAGTCTTTAAATGTAATCTCAGAAACAGGCCACGTGGATCTAAATGCATTTTCATGAAATTCAGTGTGCAGATTTTCATGTCTGAGCCCCCATTAGGGCAGATATTGGGCTGTGGTGAGGGTCTCTGGGCGGGAGGTGATGTTTGTTATTGCCTAATGAAAAGCTCAGTAACATCAATGAGAGAAAGTGTGTTGGGGGGGGGGGGGGGGCAGGAGAGGCCTGAAACCATCAAAAGAAACTAACTTTAGAGAGTTTTTTTTTATTTCCCAGTGTGTCAGAAATATCATACATTCAATGCATAGTTTGTAGCTGCTGTTTCAAACTCATATTTTGCATTGCAAGTAATTAAATTGGGTAGAATTCTTCAAACTTATACATTTTTATTAGTCTATATTTTTCTTTCTGGTTATTATTGCCATTTAATAAGTATTTAGTTTCTCTGTGGGCTCCCTCCATGGTTTTAACACCACACAGACACACACAAAAGTGACATTTCCCACTTTCAAATAAAACGTTTTATCATCTTAAATCACAAACTCGTGCATTCCATGAAGCTTCGTGAGGGGAAGCACCACAAGAGCGACGAAAAGGCAAAAATAATAATAATAATAACCCTCTACATTTTGCAATTTTGTTCATACTGGAAACTCCACTAGAAACTGTTTATTTTGTTGGTAAATATACAAGTAACATCTGCAGTGCTTTGTGGAGAGATTCCCTCACTGCCATCCGTTTTATTCGCGCGTGTGTGTGAGACGATGCAAGTGGTGCGTGAGTGCGTAAATGTCCATTCTGTGCGCTTTTACGCATGGATTAAGCAGAAAGGGTGGGGAGGAATCGTATGTTTTGTGTTGTTGTTTTTTATTTTTTTTCTTCACTAAATGGAGATTTGCAGTTAAACATCTAGCTCCAGCGATGGCTCTCGCATCTACTCTTCTATGTTGTATTTAAAAGCCTCTATGAGCCCCTCCAGTGAGTGGATAAAACCGGATATGCTGCATATACCTCCTATTACAAAGATGGAGACGTCGAAGAAAACCTGGTGCCACTGCAGCTTTCTCCATAGAAGCTTGAGGTGGAAGATGCTGGGAAGCAGAAAGCAGAGGCCGGCGCCCGTCAGGCTGCCGGTGAGGCCCATGAGCAGGGCGAAGTGCGGCACGTAGATCGCCATGAGCAAGGTGAACACAACAAGGCTACAGCGGAGGGTCAGTCCCCAGGATTTAAGGCGCCCGTCGCCCCCATAGCAGTCCGGGAAGAACGCGCGCCCCCCGTCCTGGAAAAAGGTTTTCTCCAGCACCTCGACGGCAGCGAAAAACGGCAGCGGGTAGGACAGCAAGGCTTTGGCCACCAGGAAGATGTTGACGACGGCTCGGATCGTTGGGGGCAGGTTGTCCGTGATGACCTCCTTGGTTTCGTCAGCCCACGTCAGGTAGGCCACCAGGGCGAACAGGCCCTTGAGGATGCAGGCAGCGATGTGAGTCCATTTCATCATGCAGTGGAACTCGCTCGGCTTCTGCATGTTCCCCTCCAGGGACGGCAGGAAGATCTGCGAGGTGTAGCTGAACACGATAATCCCAATGGAGATGGGGAACTTCTTGACATCGATGTAGAACTTGACCTTGTCCCAGGCCCAGTCTCGCGCCCTGGAGAGGCAGTACGCGATCACCAGGACGTTGATGACGAAGTGCGCCAGCGTGCACAGCAGGCTGAACTTGGAGACGGCTTTCAGGTTCTTGAGGAAGGCGCAGGGCAGCAGGGCGGCGGTGGCGATGATGGCCCACGACTTCTGCGAGATGGGCATGTTGGGGAAGCTGTTGTACATCAGGTTCCCGCTCACCACCACGTACAGGATGCACGTCATCACCAGCTCTATGATCTGGGCTACATTCACGACGTGGCCGCCCAAAGCCGGGAACCTGGGCGCGCAGCAGGCGTTCGCAATGTCCACATAGGAGTCCCTGACGCGGACGAGCTGCCCGTCCTCGTCCTCCTCGTACAGGCAGGCGATGAGGATTTTGCCCGTGTAGCAGCACACCACGGCCGCGAAAATGATGAGAAAGAGTCCGAGATATCCTCCGTGCAGGATGGCGTAGGGCAAACCCAGAACAAACATCCCCTAGGAAGGCAAACATGGTAAAGGTTATGGTTATAAACATTCATAAATGCTTAAAAAAGAATCAACAACACGTGTTTATCATAGTTAATGTGGCGCCTCTCCAAGCATCTCTGGTTTTTCATGTTGCGGGTTTTCCACTTCGCTCTGAGCGCATCCACCCGCCTTTTGACGTCACCATCACGAGCTGGAGGAGACACACTCTGACGTCACGATGACTGCCGTGACCGCAGCCCTGATAAGGCATATAAAAAGGGAGTGTGCGCGCGTGGAGGCATTTTTGTCGCATAGCCCCCCTACACTCAGACAAACAGCAGCGCTCATCCATCTGTGCGTAATTCCGTCTCCAAACCTAAAGACTTTGAGAAAATAATACAAATTCTTGTGTAAAAGAAATGTAATCTACAGCTTAACCAATTTCCCTACACACTTTAAAGGCCATAACTGCTGTTATTTAAGGTATTCTGGGGGGCTTTAAAATAATAAAAGTCGTTTAAATTAAATTTGGCCTTTAAAAAAAACTCAATCCTTTTCCATTACGCAGAATAAAAGCGCTATCATGGACATGGATCAATGACACTGGACAAAGAATGTGTGTTGACGGGAGGGGAGGGGTTAAGACATCATTTACCTATTTTTTCAGCAGATTTGAACGCTTGATCACTGCTTTGACTCATAAATTTAATGTTAAAACTCTTCAACTTATTGTTTAAATTAACTACTACAAATAATTGTGATTTTTTTTTGGTTCAACCATGAATATTCAAATGAGCCCCTCAAACGGGCGCAGGTGTAGATTTATCTCAGATTTCACGCAGCAGCTCCAGTCGGTCAGAACCGAGTCCCCGGAGGCGCCCTGTCCCCTGCTCATCCCCCCAAAACCGCGCGTCTTTACCTGGATTGCGTTCGTGACGTTCCAGCCCGCCTCCCACGCGGTGATTTTTGGTCTCACTTCAGACAACTCGTTGGTCGAACCCCCGTCCTTTGAGGCGGAGGGCGGTGGACCGGTACCGTCCCTCTGATAATGGCTGTCCCCCTCCAGCGCGTCGCCGTCTCCGCCGCTCCCCTCTCCTCCGCCGATCTCGTCGGATGTCAGAATGTCCATCTGCATGCCCTGTCGGTGGTCGTAATCCAGGTCGTCGCAGGAGGCGAAACCCAACGCCTCCTCGTCGGTGGCGGCCTGAAAGCCCATCCTGGCGAACATCCCGCTCACCTTAGCCTGGGATTTGTTGGACACAGCCGTGGCTGCGTTGGACAGTTTATTAGAGAGCTTGCCTTTGATTAACGTCGCCATTTTTTTGCTCCTCTTGTCGATTCCAAACTGCTGATTGAATTAAGAGCTCTGTCTTCTAAACCCGGTTAAAACGAGGCGATTTCGGATCGCAGGTCCTGGCTCTCTGCATGAGATAAAAGCCACAGCAGGGGAGGCGGGAAGATAGCGCAAAGTTTTGGATGAAGACGCCGACAATTTTTTTTTCAGTTGCTATCTCCACTTCTTGTTCTGTGCGCGGCTGATGCTCCTGATTCTCCCCAGGTTCATGTCACCTTCAGACGTCGCCGCTCCGTTTCTGCATCTTGGCACTGCGCTCTGATGCTGGACGTAGCGCACCTTTTTTTTTCCTGCTTTTTTTTCCGCCGGCGGATCGGCGCTGTGCGTAAAAGCTTTACGCACGGCACGACCCAAAAAAATAAAAAAAGAGACAAAAATGGAGGGTGATCCACAGGTTCTTTGTCTGAAATAATTATTTTATGGTTGTAAGAAGGCACGCAGCTTTCCCTGGAGTTTCTTGTTGGTGTCCAGGTGCCTTTACTGATGCCAATGCGGTACCGTGGAGCCCGGGGGGGTTAGGCGGGGAGGAGACACGTGTCCTGGTCTGCCTGCCAATGCAAAGCACGTCTCCAAGCCTCCCAGTGCCCCAACCGGGAGGAAACGGGGAGAGATTTGCTGCATTTCTAGGGGAGGCGCTTGAAGTCCCCCCCACCACCGCCTCCCCCCTCAACCCATAATCTATAACACCTCATCCTAACATCCAATGACATTCCGGGGGGCCTCGGATCTTGCATAACTTCAGGGGTATAAATGGAGGCTAAAATGTGAAGAAACCCCAAACTCTTTGGACCAGATTATATAAGAGGGAAATCTTCGATCCCAAATATTTTAACAAAATGTTTATCAAATGCCAGGAAATTCCTCAAAAGAGAACGAGGAGCGCAGTTATGTTCTCCCCCAAATTCCTCGGAGGACCATCCGTGGATCGATTTTAATAACCGCGCCGGCGATCAGGAAAACTATTTTTGTGCGTTTTGTTTTTGGTAAAAGATGCGACTGAGGTGCAGTTTTCGAGTTGGCACGCGTTTTTTTCTTCTTTTCTTCGTTTCCATATTTAGCATTATGAAATCGACTCGAGTCTCTAGGACGCTCATTCACTCATTCATTCATTTATTCATTCATTGTGGCTCCAGAGCTGCAGGCATGCTGTCGGAACGTGGTAAGAGGGGAAACGCGCACGAGACTAGAACAATGAGCATTTAAACGGAAAATAACCAGAAGAAAAATGATCCCATCTTGGTACTCTGATTTTTCCATTTGGAAATCGATATTATTAAAAAAAAAAAACAGGTTCAGTAAGATTTTTATTAGATATATAAAAAATATTCAAGTCTTATCCTCCAGAATTAAATTCTCATTTTTACATTGTATTTTTAAAGACATAATCTACTGGAAATACTTTAATTGTCTCATTATAACCTGTTTGGCACAAATGAATTCGTTACAAAGTCTCTTTTTGCGCACAACAGCCTGTTGGGTTTGCCTTTTTGGGTTCAGAGTTTATTTTATTTTATTTTATTTAAAATTTTTTGCAGGATTTCAGTTCCACACGAGGATAAAAAAAAGAAGCTGCGGCCCTGTCGACTCCAAACAGGCTACTGAAAAACTGGACCATGACTCGGCTGTTTTGTTTTATTTTTTAGGAGAGAACAATCTTTAAAAATGGCCTTTTGACAATCCCTGTCTTTTTCAGCACCAGAGGGAAGAACAAAAGTCTGATGGTATTTAGATTATATCATTGATCAATGGATCATTTAAATCGTTTGTTATTGGTTAGGCTTTACAATATTTTAAAAACGCAACGCTGCCTAAAAAATTATTGTGAAATAAATAACCCTTTTTGTTTGTATTAAATGTTAGTTATGCACAAAGGTAAAACATAGGTATCCAAATATTAGACTAGACTATTAGGTTAGACTATTTTTTATTTTAAAATGATTGCTTTAAAGATAATTCCACAAAGGTGAAACCTGCATCAGGATGACCGCAGGGGCTCAGGCCGAACTGGATCAGGCCTGCGCGTCAGAGCGAAAAAAAAAAAAAAAGCCAATAAATCGCTCCTTCACTGTCCTTCCTATTTAGATCCCCCCCCCCCTTTTTTTTGTTTGCTCTTTTTCTTCACTTGCGAGTTGCAGGAAGAGAAATGACTGCTGCTCTCTGAGCCCTGAATGAAAGAGTTAATGATGGGGAGGCTGTTATCAGCGCGCTGCAGACCTGCTCTGATCTGCGCTTAGAGCTCCGCGCTGCAGGATGAAGAGAGCGGCTCTGACACCGAGCAGGCAGCAGGTTTGCAGCGGCTGAGGACCTTTTCACACAAACACCAACCACGAACCACCAGAATACCAACAACGATATTACAGACAAAAATAATTAGAATAAAAATACGCAGTTTTCAGCTCTCATACAGGAGACGGCGCACAAGGAGTTGGTGGGATCCTCCATGTTTAACACCCGCCATGCTGGGAGCTGGAGGGGTCAGGGTGCCGCATCCCAGGAGGGTCCTCATCTTGTGATGTGACCAATCAGAGCTCCACATAACTCTTATCTGAGCGTTTTTCTCTTTGACCCACATGTGTATTTTTGTGTGTGATAAAAAGACAAATCCAAAGTGGCATTGTGTGATCTCCGTTTGTCCTGCACATCACTCCTCCTCCTCCTCCTCCTCCTCCT